CCATGGCGGCGTCCCGGACTTGATCGACTTGGGGTTCTTCTCAAGCTCCTTGCCGGAGCGGCGGTCGATCTTGGACTCGATCTCGGCGAACTTGCACGCGATGTGGCAGGTGTGGCAGTCAAGCACCGGCGCATAGCCGTTGCCGATCTGGCCGGGGTGGTTCAGGATGATCACCTGCGCCGTGAAGTCGGCCGCCTCCTTTGGGGGGTCGTTCTTCGAGTTGCCGCACACGTTGCCGCGGCGGATGTCCTTCACGGACACGTTCTTCACGTTGAAGCCGACGTTGTCGCCGGGCGTGGCCTCGGCCAGCTGCTCGTGGTGCATCTCAATCGACTTCACCTCCGTCGTCACGTTGGCGGGCGCAAACGTCACCACGTCGCCGGGCTTCATCGTGCCCGTTTCCACGCGACCGACCGGCACGGTGCCGATGCCGCCGATCTTGTACACATCCTGCAGCGGCAGGCGCAGCGGCTTGTCGCTGGGGCGCACCGGGGGCTCCAGCATGTCGAGTGCCTCCAGCAGCGTGGGGCCCTTGTACCACGGCATATTTTCCGACTTGTCAATCATGTTGTCGCCCTGCCAGCCGGAGATGGGGATGAAGCGCACCTTCTCCACGTTGTACCCAACCTTCTTCAGGTACGCCGACACCTCCTTCACAATCTCATCGTAGCGCTCCTGGGCGAAGTTCACCGACTTGTCGTCCATCTTGTTGCAGCACACAACCATCTGCTTCACGCCGAGCGTGAAGGCGAGCAGCGCGTGCTCGCGTGTCTGGCCGTCCTTCGAGATGCCCGCCTCAAACTCACCCTGCGATGACGCAATGACAAGGACGGCGGCGTCCGCCTGAGACGTGCCCGTGATCATGTTCTTGATGAAGTCGCGGTGGCCGGGGGCGTCGATGATCGTGAACACAGACTTGGGCGACTCGAACTTCCAGAGCGCGATGTCGATCGTGATGCCGCGCTCGCGCTCAGCCTTCAGCTTGTCCAAGACCCACGCGTACTTGAACGAAGACTTGCCGATTTCAGCCGCCTCCTTCTCGAACTTCTCAATCGTCCGCTTGTCAATGCCTCCGCACTTGTAGATGAGGTGGCCAGTGGCTGTGGACTTGCCGGCATCGACGTGGCCGACCACCACGAGGTTCATGTGCACCTTGTCCTTCCCCATTATGCGTGTTTTACCTTGTGGGATTGAAAAAGCAATAAAAAGCTGTGTAGCAGACCTAGCGTCAGCGAAGAAAAACGTGGGTGGGGCGAAAAAGACATCACGGGGCCCAGCGGCACGCATGTGTAGGCACACACACACACACACGGAGAGAGAGAGAGAGAGACAAAGACAGACAGACACGCACACTAAAATTACAATCCAAAGAAATCATAAAAAAAACAAAAACAAAAAAAAGGTCTTGCTCACAAACAATTACGTTCATATCACTTCTTAGAGGCCTTTGCGGCGGCCTTGGTGACCTTGCCGGCACCGCCCTCCTTCTTCGTCACCGCCTTGATGATGCCGACGGCGACCGTCTGGCGCATGTCACGCACGGCAAAGCGGCCAAGAGGAGCGTAGTCGTTGAACACCTCCACGCACATGGGCTTCTGCGGCACCATGCGCACCATGGCGGCGTCACCGGACTTGATCGACTTGGGGTTCTTCTCAAGCTCCTTGCCGGAGCGGCGGTCGATCTTGGACTCGATCTCGGCGAACTTGCACGCGATGTGGCAGGTGTGGCAGTCAAGCACCGGCGCATAGCCGTTGCCGATCTGGCCGGGGTGGTTCAGGATGATCACCTGCGCCGTGAAGTCGGCCGCCTCCTTTGGGGGGTCGTTCTTCGAGTTGCCGCACACGTTGCCACGGCGGATGTCCTTCACGGACACGTTCTTCACGTTGAAGCCGACGTTGTCGCCGGGCGTGGCCTCGGCCAGCTGCTCGTGGTGCATCTCAATCGACTTCACCTCCGTCGTCACGTTGGCGGGCGCAAACGTCACCACGTCGCCGGGCTTCATCGTGCCCGTCTCCACGCGACCGACCGGCACGGTGCCGATGCCGCCGATCTTGTACACATCCTGCAGCGGCAGGCGCAGCGGCTTGTCGCTGGGGCGCACCGGGGGCTCCAGCATGTCGAGTGCCTCCAGCAGCGTGGGGCCCTTGTACCACGGCATATTTTCCGACTTGTCAATCATGTTGTCGCCCTGCCAGCCGGAGATGGGGATGAAGCGCACCTTCTCCACGTTGTACCCAACCTTCTTCAGGTACGCCGACACCTCCTTCACAATCTCATCGTAGCGCTCCTGGGCGAAGTTCACCGACTTGTCGTCCATCTTGTTGCAGCACACAACCATCTGCTTCACGCCGAGCGTGAAGGCGAGCAGCGCGTGCTCGCGTGTCTGGCCGTCCTTCGAGATGCCCGCCTCAAACTCACCCTGCGATGACGCAATGACAAGGACGGCGGCGTCCGCCTGAGACGTGCCCGTGATCATGTTCTTGATGAAGTCGCGGTGGCCGGGGGCGTCGATGATCGTGAACACAGACTTGGGCGACTCGAACTTCCAGAGCGCGATGTCGATCGTGATGCCGCGCTCGCGCTCAGCCTTCAGCTTGTCCAAGACCCACGCGTACTTGAACGAAGACTTGCCGATTTCAGCCGCCTCCTTCTCGAACTTCTCAATCGTCCGCTTGTCAATGCCTCCGCACTTGTAGATGAGGTGGCCAGTGGCTGTGGACTTGCCGGCATCGACGTGGCCGACCACCACGAGGTTCATGTGCACCTTGTCCTTCCCCATTATGCGTGTTTTACCTTGTGGGATTGAAAAAACAATAAAAAGCTGTGTAGCAGACCTAGCGTCAGCGAAGAAAGACATAAAGAGAGGGTTTTACGAGGAGAAGGTGTAGATTTATAATAATGTCATATTTTTTTTGTTTGTGTGTAACTTTTGTACTTTGTGGGTGGAGATGGTGTTTCGCAAGTGTTGTCAAGCGCCGTGTCTTGTGTGCATGTCCTTCTTTTTTATTTGTATTCTCGTCCCTTTACGCGTGTGTTGTTTTTTTATTCCCGGTGACTGCGTAGAGTAAATGTTTTGTTTTTTATCTCTTTGGAGAGACTGCGGGAAGAGAAGATGATCATGTAGAGGACTGCAATGGTGGCAAATACGGAGATGAATGCACATGCGCTGAGTGCCTTGTGTGGGTTGTAGGCGCGGCGCTCCTCCCAGTGGTACTGGAGCTCAATTTCTTCGTGGTGCACTGGTGCATAGACCGGCTCCGCGTAGAACGTCGTTATTTTATTAAAAGTGCTTTCCTGATAGCCAAAGCTGAAGGTGACAGCGGCTAGATAGAGCATGTTCTCGTCGCGAACGGATGCATTTTGGCCCCTGTTGCTCATGGAGGGACGCACGGTGGTTTTTAAGAGCGGCAGCCATGCGGTCGATTTGCTTAGACCGCGCTCCAACTGGAAGCGCACGGCGACATCACTGAGGGAACGGCCGGAGGCTTTTGTCTGTTTATGGGCGTGCTCAAAGAGTCGCTTGGCCGGCTGGTGCACACGTCTGTTGATGCCAAAGCGCGGGCAGAAGTCGGGCGGCAGTGGCCGGAGAAACTGCTCACCCTGGCCGCTCTCTTGCATGTCTTCTAATTCTTCCATGTCATTGCGGCCCACGGTAACAGTTGGTGCCACACGCTTGAGGCGCATGTGCAGAGTGACGGGGATGATCTCTCCGACATTCCACGCATCCACACCCCACCCTGACAGTAGGAGCAGAAAGAACACAGCCAGCAGTGTGTGCTCCCACAAAATCCACCGTCGCATCATATTAGTCTTCACCCTATTCCGCTAAAACAGCTACTGTTGTCTCCTTCTTGAGCGTTTGCCTGACGGATCCGGCAGCAGCAGCAGCAGCGGGTGTCTTCTTCCTTCTTTTTTGTCCTTCCAAAACCCTTATTTTGAAACCCAATGATTATTTCTGCGAATCAAAAAGAGAAGAATAATTGAAAGAAGTTATGTATTGCTCAAAAAAGCGGTGGGGCTTAGCTCCGCATATCGTCACCGTATCTCTGATGACTATTCATTTTGCAAGCAACAACTCCTTCTTTGTTTCTTGTTGTTGTTGTTTGTATTTTTCCTCGTCTCCTCCCACATATATGTGAAGAAGAATCCAATGGACGAATTACCGCCGACGAGGGTGTTTTGGTTTCCCGAACGGATGAGAAGCGGCAGCTTCGACACGATCATGAACACTTATTACCGCGCAACGTTCTTTTACGCGTAGCAGTCGAGTTGCCAGTGGCCCTTGCGCTGCCAGCGTCCACGCGCGTGCCACGGCGGGGTATGTGAGCGCCAACACCGCCACCTGAAGCGGGAGCAGACCGTTGGCAATGTTGTGCCCCGTGTGCAGTGCGGTGAGTTTGTCGGCGTCAATGCGGCATCCGGCGACTGTCCAGCCATCCTTGTGACGGCCGCCCTCCCAGTCGACAAGGCCAGTGAATGGGTAGTGGTAGCGGTGAAGAGATGCCTCAATGCCCGCCGTGGTCACCCTGTCGTGGAGCAGCAGCCACGCAAATACGCCGGTGCATCCGGCCTCGAGGAATAGTTGATAAATCGCGATGGGCATCGCGTTGTCGATAAGCCACACAATCGGAGGTGAAGTACGCCATGAAAGGCGGCGATGTGGCTGCACGGGCCGCGGCTTATTTGCCTGCTGATGTTTTTTATGCCGCGGTGACGTCGCGGAACGCGCATGCACATTGACGCTTTGCCGAGGTGGCTGTGCCGGTGCTTGCGACAAGAAGCCGCGAGCACCGCGAGCCATGACACCTGCCACGCCACGCCGCCACATCTACTGCCGTGCACTCTTTTGGTGGAAATAAAACGAAGAAGAAAAACACAAAAACAAACACAGACACACAAATAAATACACACACGCCCTTCTGTCATCAGCACGGCCGGTGCCGCAAATTCAAGAGCAGGAAAAAATAAATAACACACACACACACACACACACACACAAAGAAAAAAACACCGTTTTTTTTTCCATTCCTTTTTTGTCTTTTTCTTCACTTACACTTTTATTCGCTGTTGTCTACACACGTTTATTGCTTTACGACCCCTCTCCGTGCGGGGTTGTATTTTCTTCCGCCTCCCTCTGGCACAGCGCGGCAGAAGGGGCAAAGACGGCGGTGTATCGCCTGTTCATTGCGGCCACTGTCGCATCCACCTGCGCAAGCGTCACACGGTGGGGGACGCCCTCCTCCGCCACCACCCCGGTCTCTTCATCGTCGTCGTCCTTCTCTTTTCCGTCATCCCGCCGGGTTGAAGGCCTCTCCACTGAAAGAAGAGAAAAAATGTCAAAGTGGCGTGACATGCACGCGTCGCAGCCACCGTTCGCATCACCACTGTCTTCGTGCCCCGATTCTTCCTCTTCCTCCTCGGCACCTTTGGAGCCCAGGCCAAACGTCAGAATGTGCATAGCACCGCTGGCAGCGGCATCGCTACTTGCCCTTTCCACCACCGCACGGACGAGGGCCTCGCCATCTGCGCAGGCCTCAAGGCCGTACTCAACAACAAGCCGCGCCACCCGCTCCTCTGTCTGCGCCACGAACCACGCCAGATGGCCGTTCGTGGCATTGCGGAGATGCACCTGGTCGTTGAAGAGAAGCAGCGGTGCACTACGCCTTTTCTCAATTGGGTTCGTTGGCGGCAGGGCGTTCTCAACAAACGTCATCACACGATCATAGGCAGCGAGAATGCACTCAGAGCGTTTCATGGTTGGCGCCCGCCATGACATCATGCCGTGAATCGTTACAATGTAGAAAGTCGGCTTTCGCTGATCATTCCTAGTGGAGAAGGGTGCCCCAACTGTTGTTGTTCTCGCAGTTGTTCTTGAAGAAGAAAGTGGAGGAGAATGGGGTCGCGTTGCTTCCAAACGTCGTTTCTTTCGGCGTTTCTGCTTTGGTGAGTCTGACTCTTCTTCCACCCTCGTTGCTTCCACTGAGACTGCCGTTGTGGGGATGTTTTCCCTCATCGATGGGGCGGTGTCTGTGATCTTCGACACCGACACAACCGCATTACCAAGATGATGACACACCTCCAGCCGCTGCGGGTACAGGCTGTAGTTGTACGCCGTGTAGCAGTTCAGTGAGCCACGAGCAAAGCGGTGCAGAACGGAGCGCCCCATTAGCAGATTGCGGCTGTTGCCTTTCATGGCGACATCAAATACCCCGAGGTCCCGCACGTCCAGCGGGGAGAGACGCATCCCTGTGTACTCGTCGTCCATTTCCACCTCTGTGGCAAGTCGCATCTTGGCAGGGTCAAAGAACGCAAGACCTTCTTGAAGACTCATGGAGAACGTGGCCGAAGGATGTAAAAAGCGGTGATGGAAATTGTTGTCATCAAGCTCTTCCTCTGGCGGCCGAAAAAACTTCACTCTATTGTTTCCCCTCAGTTGTTGTTCATCGTCGGAGGTCTGGCGCTGCTGTTGTTGCCGTTGATACATCAGCTCCGCTGATGTCCATGGCACACGGCGTGTCTCCCACACGTACAGGAACCGCGAAACTCCTTTTAATACCTCCTTCAACTCTTCAACAGAAATCACCTGGCGGCCCGGCGTGTCTTGCGTGGCGGTGCATGTGTACGACACCACCCTTGGATGCGGCGTCGAGAGCGGTGGACGGCGAATCGGCCTGCCGTCAAGGCTTGTAAGCTTCGGCAGCGAATTGCGTACCTGCTCCCGGTACTCCGGCTTGCGTGTGATGGGGTTGTTCTCAAGCGAGAGACGCAGCAGCCGACTTGAAAAGTGGGTACGGAGTAAGAAGAGGAAGCGAAGACTCATAAGTCGATTGTCGCTCATGTCCAGAGCGATTAGGGTGGTGTCCAGCTGGTGCTTACGTAGGGCGTTGATGAGGGCGTCCGCAGTCCTCATGGCACATCGACGCATGGTGAGGGAACGCAACACCACTGGCTGCTTCTGCTGCTGTTGTGTGGCTTCGTCATTCATCCAGTTGAATGTCCACACGATGGCCTCCACCAACTCATGTGCACATGCCGGGGAGCCAATGTCAATCTCCTTCTCCGACACGCCACGTGGAAACCGGAGCGTATTGCTGCCTGTAAAATAAGCCGCCGTCCTAGGACGAATAACGGCGTCGTCCGGATGCTGCGACACGTACGCAACGATTTGTGGAATGGATGAGAGGTCCACAACGCCGAGGGACGGGCGGAAGACGGTGACAGTCACCACCCGCTCCTCCTCCGCCTCCACGTCGACGCCATCCGCATCACAACCGTCAAGAAGCATCTCCGCCTCTAAGCGACGCCGCACATCACACACAACCCTCTGGGGCACCTCGAAACTCCCCTGCCACAGTAAGCACGCCACACATTTCTGTAGCGGCGAGAGGCTAATAAAGACACGCTGCCGCGCCGCGATAACCCCTTTTTTTGGTCGCTTTTCATTCGCCTCCTGTTTTTCATTTGCCTCTTCCATTTTTGCCGTATCCCTTCGCTTTGACTGGCGAAGATCCATCTGCAACTCGCGCCTGTGGGAATATGGACAGCACCGCAACCGCAGCGATGCCATGCGCTCCGCCACCGCGGCGTCAAGGCTCCAATTCTCATACGACTTCTCACACTTCAGTTCGGCCACGATACTTTCAATGGCGGCGGTGCGTTGACGTTCGTCTGCGGCGGCGCCGTCCTGCATTACTTCCTCCTGCAACCTAAACAGTTCTGTGGCGCTGCGAAGAAGTTCTTCCTCCTTTTCCGCGGCAACTGAGGCGCGGACCGACGCCTCCCGCGCATAAATACGGCAGGAGCCCCTCGTCCGCATCGCCGGACACAACGTCGAGCACAACGTCGTATCATCGCGGCGTCTTCCAAGAACGCGCGACCGTCTCGTGTAGCCAGCGGTGCTGGAGAGCATGGAGGGCGGTGCGTGGAGCAAAACGTCCGTTACGCAAAAATAAAATTGTGTCGAGTGAAAGCAAACAACACCACACCTCATGCAGAAATAAAGCGTGCATATATATATGCATACAGAAGAATCAAAGTAAAATAAAATAAAATAAAAAGAATGAAGAGGTAGCAGAAATATGTGTGTGGGGAAAAAGAACATCAAGAGCAGAAAAAAAAATTTCATGGGTTAAGGGGCACACACAAACACACTGACTGGTGGGAGTGAGAGGGTTCAGAAGAGGCATTTGCGTTATTTTCACTTTCCTTGCATTCCCCCCCCCGCCGCCTGCTTAGTCAAGTGACACAACGACGCTCACCGCGGCATCATAGCAGTCAGATGCCGGCAACACCTCGTCGCTAATGACGCCCCATCGCCCACTCCGCGAAAGTGCCTCCGAAACCATTGCCGTTACTTCTCGCTTCAGAAGCGAAATGTCTTTTCTTTCACCCACCACCTCCTGCTCCTGCTGCTGCTGCTGACCGCCAAGAAGATTCACAAGAAGCGTGCTACCGCGATGCAACTTTGAAATGACGTGTGCGAGCTCGATACCAACAGACTCCCCCTTCGCCCTTCGCTGCCGCCCGCTGTGGGCCGTGTAGCAGCCAAGAACAAAGTAGCGGGACTGCAACGCACGCAGCGGTTCCTTCTCAAGACGGCCGCCGGGATGTGCCACCAGGCGCAGGAGACTTGTGATGTTTGCATCTTTTTCTTCCGGTGCTGCCGCCGCCACCTCACTGAGGGGGACGTAACTGACGTGGAAGTCCCGCTCCAGTTCCAGACCGCCCTCCACTCCCACATGTACGGCCACACGACTGAATGCACAATCCGCCTCGCTCACGTCCAGAACGGCAATTGGCTCGGCAGCTGCACTCGTTGACTGCCGCTCTTTCATCTCCCTCAAGAACAAATGAGCAAACGTCTGACGCGCCGCGCGGAGTGCTCGGAACCCCGCCGCACGTGGCGATGCAAACACCACCCCGTTTTCCATAAGCGGAGTTGCCGTCTGCTGCTGCTGCTGTGTCGTGATGAGCCACTCGGCAAGTGCATCGTCGGAGGGGGTTTGCGGGGACAGTCCCATCGCCGTGACACCTTCTCGCAGTCCTTCTGGCAGCGCCGAATTTACGGCTCCCGCGACGGCCGCCACATCATCCGGCGACAAATCGTCAACGGTCCTCTCGCTTGAGTGGGCCCTCGCAAGCCGCAGCACGGCGCCGTACATCTCCAGGCGCGTGCCGCGTGGAAGGCCATCCGCACGTCCATCCGCAAGAACGCACATGTTCGTCTCGCCGTCCCACCGCAAGCCGAGTACTTCCCAACGAAACGCCACCGCGCGGCGCACAAGCGATGACTTCACCGTCAACACTGCACGGGTCCAAACGCGTGTGCGGCGCCACATTGACAACCCTACAGCCGTGTTTTTTTATTATTTTTACTTCTTCGTTCTTTCCTCCACCCGCAGCCCAGACACCGCAGCTTTTGTTGTCACAGCGGCTCACTGTTCCTCCACACTCTTGAATCCCTGAGCGCCCCTTCCAACTCCGCGTGCCCACGTGCCTGGGAGATATTTGTTTGTTTGTTTTTATGGAGAGTGAGGGATGAGGGGGTGGAATAAAAGAAGCATGCAACCCGCTGCATCGTCCATTGACAAAACTGGCGGGGTGAAGAAAAGAGAGAATGGGGAATGGGAGCAGCAGAGACTGACAACGCCAGCGATGTTTCGTGATTTAGTCGAAATCTTCTCTCTCTCTCTCTCTCTTTCCTTGTCTGTCTCTCTTGTACATCACAATCCCAGCGCTTGTGACTGCACGGCAGCGCCAGAAGAAATAATAAAAGTGTTAAATAACAAAACACACACTCAGAGAGAGAGAGAGAGGGACCGAAGGGCATTTAAACAAACACACCCTCCAAATAAATGTAATACAACGTGTGTTTGCCCATCCTCCCGGAGAGAGGGGGAAAGAACAGAGGAGGGAAACTGCGTAATCAGTAAATTCAAATAAAAAGCAAAAAAAAAAAAAAGCAAAACAAAAGAGGTACACTTCAGAGTCTACACGTAAACGCCTACTGAGGGAGAAAAAAGAGAAGGTAAGGAGAGAAACAGGCACATTGCACGCAACGCATGTCTGCAAAACATTATTTAAACATGACAACACCATAAAACCAGCCATCCCATCCTACCGGTCGCCCGCCAAACGATACCGTGAAAGAAAACATCCACACGGAAATGACACATAAATACAAACAAAAAAATAACAACAACAACAACAACAAAAAAAAAAAAAAAACGGCATGCTCATTGTGCCTCACTCCCCCTCCCCCATCTTCTTCTTCCTCCTCCACCTCCCTTCTTATTACCGGACAATGTCCCCACCGCCCACCGCCACGCGGCGAGTGAAGACGAAGGACACGTCCCTTTCAACTAATAAATATGCACAACCATGCCTTTTTCCCCTCTATCTCTCTCTCATTCTTTCCTTTTCCTTTCCCCCCTCTACTTGACTTCTAAACACGAATACAAAAATGAAAAAAGGACTGCACGCAAACAATTAAAACTTTATCTCGTCGTCGTCGCATTTCACCACCGCTGCCTTCCACCCTCCTAAGAGAAAACAACCTGAAGATTTAGGAACAAAACTAAACTTCTTCAAGAATAGCAGGGTCTATAGTACATTGGTTTGAACCTGCACACTATTGAGCAGCCGCTGCGCCGCGCTGTTAACGCTGCTAGGGAAACTTTCGCCATCGGACAACCGGAGGAGGAGCTGCAGAAGGCCACGCGACTCCACGACGCGCGAGGAATCCACCGAGTACGCCAGCAGGATCTCAATGAAGCGGATCGCGTGCACCACCTCCGTCCAACGATGTCGCTCCACCGCGAGGTCTGCTCGATCTACGGCTATGCTGAGAAATGCGTCAGATGCGGCCAGCGCCGCCGCCATGCGTTCATCCTCGCAGAGGTTGAAGAGGACCTTCATCACCTCGTCCTCACGGGACTCCTCCAGGACAGGGATGCTCTTCGCAGCATGTGCCAGTAGTGGCACGCTACACCGCGTGTCACGTATGAAGGAGGCGGCCTTTTGAGATGCACACTGCAGCAATGGGAGACACCGGAGCAGTGCGATACGTGTGGTGGCGTCAATGGAGGCGTTTGAGGCGACGACGAGAAAAGTCCCCGCGATGCTCTTTCCCCCCACATTGAGACTCTTCAGATGACCTCTCGTTGCGTGGTGGACAAATTGCAGAAGAAGCAAAATTGCGTTGGGGCATAAGTGACGACTCGCCTCTTGCAAGGCCAGCAGCCACTTTCCTTCCGCTTGCCGTTCACCGCCACCGCCCGCGGCATTCGTGTTGCTGGAGCCGCCGACGTTACTTCCGCGAGAGACACCGGGTCGACCACCACTTTCGCCACCACCACGTGCACCACTATCCGCCATGGCAACAGCCGCGTCCACTGCGGTGACGGCGGCCACGTTTGAAGCCTCTCCCCCTTCTCCGTTCTGCGCAACGAACATCGATGGACCCACAACGATGCTCTCATCACCTGTTTTTTTAAACACCTGCAGAAGAACCTCAAACAGCTTGTCTAAACTTTGCCACCCAATGAGTGGTTCCTTCTCCTCGTAAAAGGCGGTGCAGCAGGCCTCTTCGATAATGCGTTGAACAGCATACACCGCGTGATCCGTGACAAATCGATTCTGTGAGACGAAACGTCGAAATGTGATTTGCCCAACATCCGCGGCAGAAATTTCCTGCGGAATTGAAAAGG